GATAACGAAAAGTGTTGCGAGGGAAGGCAAAGGTATTGCGTGGGAACACAAAAGAAAAATAATCTCCCGTATCCCCTCACGGGCTCCGTAGGTTTTGGGGTTTTCAGAAAAAGAGTTGATGCACAAAAATAGAGATAAAAACACATTTGCAGAAAATAACCTGATGTAGCGAACATCTACCTCACATGATTGATCAGTTATTCTCGTTGTTGTCTTCCCAGATATTTCTGTAAGCTTTGTATTTCTTTTTCTACATCTTATATAGCACCTTTCTATCCAACCAGGATACTCAAAGCTCTTTACACTACAATATGTCCTCATTTACCCATTTACATGCACAGATCTCTCTAAAAAGCTAATACAGATAGATCAGTCWATGAAAACTAATAAACTGATGGGACACGCATCAGAGGCAGTGGTGGTTCTGTGTTTTGCACAGGAATACTTCAACATGTGACTGAATAGCGGTGGAATCAAACCTCCAACTCGCACATTAGAGGAATGGCTCTCCTAACCACTCAACCGCAGCCACTCTTAATATAAATTTATTTACTTAGTGGTAAAATAAATCAGGAGGCTTCAAAGCCAACCATGCTGAGTGGATTCAGCAGCTGATTCATTTCAGAGCGTTTGTGCAAAATTCTTTAAGTGCAACGCACAGTTTTTCACAAGGTATGAGGCAGAATTTTTTACATGCTATCTATCAGACAACATACATAATTTAAATCTGCATTTTTGTCTGAAAACTTGAGCAGACCACAAGACCCAGACGATTACTAGGGGTGTCCTGATACCAGTTTTTCCCAAACCAAGTATGAGTACAATTACCTCAATTTCAGTCTGCAAAATGGAGGACTTACTGAGTAATTACTTAAAACTTAAACATTACACAATGACTTTATGAATGTATTTCTTTTATTTAGAACAAGGTGGCTTTACTTCCTTATAGACCTACAGCCCCTCTGACTGGATCAAATCAAACATACAGCAGGATAAATATAGTTGAGACATTTTAAAATAAAGAAAAATATCAAATAAGATTTTCTTTCAACTTGTATAACTTTCTTAAGCATGGAACTGACACGTTTTTCACTTGAAATGAATATTGTAACACATTCAAAGGAGTATTGATGCATGCATCCCAGTATCAATACTGGTGTTTGGATCGGTCCAGTATTTGGGCCTTTTCTACAAATACTTGTAAAAATGCTGTTATCAGRACACCACTAACTCTTATGGTTCATGAGATACTTTGCCAACAGAAACACAATTTTGGCAGCTGGCAATGAAATACTAATGTATTTGTAATGATGGTGAACGAACATCGAGTTTGAATGAGGGACAAACGAAGCAAAAGCCAGAAAAAAGTCTGTTTTTGATCAGTTTTTATGAAATCACGTTGTTAATTGCAAGCAGCTGGCTGTTGCACTTCCTGAGAATTCCTCTATGTCTGAATTTACCATGTTGTCTTGGTTATTTTTAGTTCAAAAAGGATCAGTGAATGACTTTCATATTGGAGGAGAAACAGAAAATTAATTCTGTTGATGGAGAAAAGGAATTGCCGCAGGGAGAAAAAAAAGGGGGGCCATGTTGTTTCACAACAACCTGAAACCCTCTTCCATCCACACAATATTAAGTAGCTGGGAAAGTCTGTGATTGTTTCACAGACAGTCATTGTGTTATTCAGAGTGTAAAGGTGGCAGCATTTAGCCAGTGACAAAAAGATTTCCCAACACTCCAGAGCCTTGGAAATAAACAGGGGAGCACAAGAGTATACAGAACATGTCTGATGGTACTGTAAATGTTTGATACAGTGTATTTTATGACTTTGTGGTGGAAGGTTTACACATGGACCCTGTTTAACTGCCATATAGGGCTCGCGAGTGTTTACTTTGCTTCACAAGCTGGCGAACTCATAGAGACAGATGAGGAAATGGTCGAGAAACTTTAGATCAATGGATTATAGACTTTCCAGACTTTCTTCTGTCTAAATTCTGCTCACATAACAGCAACATTTCTCCACAACACAAACATTCTGTAGTGATAACAGGATTTAGTTTAGCTAGGGTTGTTATTATATGGTTGAGACAAATAACACACATCTAATCCTATTTATTAATTGCAATACATATTCTTGTGTTTTTAATGATAAAATCCAATTAATTACCAAATAAATAAATAGATAAAATATGACTAAAATGGCTGCCCACTGCTCCACAAGTGTGTGCTCAGTGCTCAAATATGAAAGGCTTGTAAAGCAGATCATTGTTAAATTTCCGCAAGGGGATCAATAAAGTATGTATGTATGTATGTATGTTTGTATGTATACATACATACATACATACATACATACATACATACATACATACATACAT